TTACCCAACCGTCTATTAGAAGTTATAGTCTGTACATAGAATCATCGTAATAATCCGGAGACTCTTTAAAAAACTAAAGTTAACAAATATTTTTGGTCGTTTTTGGCTTGCAATCAAAAACTGGTGGGTTTTTGTAAGGAGAACTAAAGGATGATCCATTTCTAGGTTCCCTACTTTTTTAAAGAAAAAATATTGAAACTTCATATTTAATGAGGGATGAATCATTCACAATAACATTATTTGGCATTTATTTTTCAAATATTATCTCTTTCCGATATTGGCCGCGGCTCTGGCTCTGATGATTCGTCCGTTAAGTCTAATGACTCGTTCAAGCATTTCGTCTGGTAACTGGCAAATGATACGCTGGATATTTAGCTCCAAGGCTTGAATCGAAGCGGGATTGTCCGCAAAGACCTTAGGCTTTAGGTACAAATCCGCACTAGAAAAAGTCTCACGGTGTGACATCTCACCTTTGAATGATGTGACGTGTAGGAAGTTACGCCGTCTTGTTGAAACTAAATGTCGCCGAGATCACGAGCTTCATCTTCCACGGTCTTCGTATACTTTTACAGCGTGCTGGACGTGGTCTATTTGGTCGAATTTTATCCAAGAACGGATGCTGTTGATGATGTTGCGAATAGTACGCTCCGTAGGCCGATCATGTTGATCATAAGTTGAGCGAAGCGCACGAAACACATTCTTTACAGAATTCCCGTAATAAAGTTGAACACTTTATAAAAGCTGATCAGCCGTAATTAATCTATCAATGATGAAATGACAAACACTATTAAAAAAAAAAAAAAAATACGAAATCTTGTCGCGACTCACACGTAATCTGTCAAAAAAAAAAAAGGTTATTGAAAGAGGTACTTCTACTTGGATCACCCGTTATGTACAGATCACACAGAATTTCATATTGATTGGATCATTTCTTGGCAAGTAGTCACTCAAAAATATGTGAAAAAACGAGGAAAACGCATTTAAAGATAAACTTGTGAAGCTAATTCATCTGAGTGGCTACAAAAATTACTTGATACTTATATAGATTAAAAAATACTTCAAGCCAAATACGGAGCTTTTCCAGTCAATGTGCATTTTGGGTTAAAAATGAAATTTTTAATTACAATACCGGGCATTTTTAGCAATCCATCGATTCTCTCGTCATTTATCGGTATTATTATTCTTATACTTTTCTTTAAGATAAAGTGCAAGTAACATACAGAGAAATAATAATTTATTAAAAAAAATAGTAATAATAATACAAGTTAAACCATTTTAAAATTTAATTTTTTTAATTTATTGCAGTTGCCTCGATTTGAGTAAAATTTTTGGTAATTATGCATACATAACACATTAACACACATACCTGTATTCACCACAAGTAGCGGATACTTCAACAAACATAACAAAAGGGTATAGAATGAAAATGTGTTTATAATTTACTTGTTCAATATTATTTTTCCCAATACTATAAAATTTTTAAAAATCCACTAATGGCCAACACAATGCTATGACATAATATGTTTGAGTTTTAAAAGTGCAATCCAAACAAACCTAAAAAAACAATGTCACATACGAGTATAAAAAGCAAAATTAAACCTGTTGAAACCTTTCTTATTCAAATTTCTGCTGAAACATAATTATGCTTGCTTGTTTGCATGTATATATGTTTTCGCAGGTTTGGTTTTGATTGTCTGCTTTTAGGGATTGCGACACAGATAAGCGAATTAATGAGTGTCGTGTTGAAATAGACGGGCAATCAATGGGGAACTCAGACATCTGATTAACTGACTGATTCACGTGAGTCGCATGAATGGTGGGAACTACTAACCAGAAAGAGAATTTAAAATAATTTTCAATTTTAATATTCATAACAGCCCACTTAGCAAGTTTTCAGAGAGTAGTCAAATTAATTTTTCAAGTTTACTTATTTCTTTTCTTGAACACCTGATGAATGGAGATGGCCAGTCTCAATTAATAATTTGCGTATTCTTCATTGAGTGGTGCTTTGTAACTGTCAACGAATTTCTTTCAAGAACGTCGCTGAGTTGATGAGTTTTCTTGGCGTAAAATGAAAACACTTGTTAAGAGATGAAAGAATTTTGGAGCTTTTCATAAAAGTGTTATTGATTGTTTAATAATTCGAGATTTTGAGAAAGTGAAATTCTTATATTTCATTTATTATGAATTTGCGTCTCACTTTGCGATTTGCAAAGAATTGATACAAAGAATTCAAGCAGATGGTAGGGACATAACTCACAATTTTTTCCGAGATCGCGAAAAATGTAGACACTTGATATACATACTTTACCCTACAAAACTTCTGAAGCCTTTCGACAATCTAAAATTCATGAAATAGCTTCCATTGGGAATTAAAAAATTCGGCTTTAGATGAGTAGTTAGTAACATTAAGAATAGCTAATCTAAAGTAAAAACTGAACGGTTCCAAAACCCCTGTAATTCGCCTTATCAACTGAACTAGAAGAGGTTGAATGTCGGATGTTGTCGAATAAATATTCCACGCTTTTATAACTGAACAGATATTTTACTTTAGAAGATTATATTCACCGAGAAGTTAAAAGTAATTTAAAGAAACAGAGCGACTAATAAATTGGGGTGAGAACGACGGGATAGAGTCTTTGGATGCCTTTTTAGACGATTTTTATATCTCACACGGATTTAAGCCAAAATAAATTAAATTATTTAAATCAGAACAATAACAATATTTATGTTTTATTTACTTTAGGTTGTGATCAAATACGGCTTTCAATGATCTATGATTTTTGAAATAATGAAACTACGAAATAGAAAAATATGCAGTCCTCATTCTATACTAATTTTCGAGGATTTTACTTTCTGGCGTTATGAGTCTTTGAAAGCGATTTATGTCGTGCAATTCAAGAATTCGACGAATGAAGTGCGCTTTCGTTAGTTTTGTTCAGCTTTTGCGGAAGAAAATTTTAATTGTTTTCTGCTCAAACTACTACTACTACTTTTAAATAGATATCATTCAAGAAACTCTTGCAATTAAAGTATCAAAAAAGCTAAAGAATAAGTCAAAGACACACTGTATACGTCCAACCTTTTTATAAGGATTTTTAATTTTTTATAAAATCTTGCCTTGAAACTATTATAAGCAAGCGGTTATATAAATATTTTAAAACCTATAGGTATACTTTGTATATCTTTGACCCGGCTTCCAGAATATACCTATAATGGGCACGATAACTTAGCGGGGGAGAATTATCTGAGCTATAAAGTGGTTAGTGTATAATGATGTAATTTTCTACTCTCGCTTTAGGCATACCGCCAATAAACGTCTCGTGGTGGTTAGCATAACAGACGAAGCATTCATCTTATAATAAGTGTAGGTCAATTGAGGGGTTTAAGAAAATAAATTTTTGGTAAAGTTCCAAAAAAAAATATGATTTTATGTAAAATTTTTCCCAAAAATTGCTTTAAAAACATAGTTCGAATCGTAACACTATTTAGAAGAACTCTGAAAACTTTCCATAAGAGCACTTTACTAGTTTTTTTATAAATCGTGACCACCGATTTTGAAAATGATGTTTCGAGAAAAACACGATTTTTTTTTTAATTTTTTCATAACAATATTCGAGCAGGTTGCCAAGAGATGGCGAGGATTAATTAATATTGAATTGCCCCAATATTCCGAACATGTGTTAGAAAGCTACTTTTTTAACAGAAATGTTGAACTAAGTATGTTCCTGAAAAAGTTTTTTGCGGATAGTTCTTCATCATGCCACGCAAGCCATGAAGTTTACCGAGACGATGCCGTATGAGTTCGTGTGGCACGGCAATGGTTCGCTCGCGTCCGTTCTGGAAATTTCGAAATTACGATTTACAGTGATAAAAGTTTGGATGGACTAATTCCTATAGCGGAAAATGGCAAAAAGTGGTCGACCAAAATGGTACATATTTATTTATTTATTTATTTATTAGTATAAATATAAGGCGAGAACGTCATGTTCGACCAAAACATTTTAATATGAGGACTGGAAATGATGATGATGAAGATTTTCGCAGAACTCTTTGGCAGTCACTGAAGCAGCTATTTTAAAACGATGAAAAATTATGACAAAATTCTATTCGCAAGAAATCATATTTGAAACCTTGGCAACAAACAAAATAACAGCAAATTCTAATATCCATGATAGCAGATAAAGTAAAGCTCGAGGCACTTTTTTATTGCGACAATGCTGTGTTTATTATATTTATATTGTAAGACCCATTAAAAACTATTTTAAAAACAGCGGCAACGATTCCAGTAATTTCTTTATTTTATTGACGTGTTGATCAATCAATTGAAGCTGATCGCAATCCTGGAGGTAGTTCGTTGTCAACGCATTCTCGATTCTCTGTGAATAATTTGTATCAATCAAAAACATCTGTTCGCGACAAACAATTATAACCGATTTTCTAACATTCTGAAAGTTACGGCACCAGAAGTTTGATTCTACACATAAACTTCTTTGTTGAATAATTTCACTCATCGTACAAATTGCAGAATGCACTTAATGTACTTCAGAAAAACAAGTGTATACACTAATGATTATTTGGATGTGACATTTGGCGCAGACGCTCCGGTTGTAGTTATGTGTACAAAAATAAAAACATATTAAAAGCATTGACACATAAACAAGTAAATTACAAGTTAGATTTTCTGAGATTTTACACTTTCATAATGTCAATATCACAATGTCTCTTTTTTTAAATCATCACATTTCATTGCTATTTGGCTTTTTGTCAGCATTTAAACGAACATCACAGTTAAAACCTTTACGTCACTGTAAACTAGTGTATTTTTAGCCTATACTCATTTGTTGCTCCACTTTAGTAAACTAAAGATTTATCTGATGACTTTGGTGTCACGAACGATTGAAATAGTAATATATTTGGGAAAGAAACAAATTTGTACATATGCACACCCACCGGTTTGCCAAACCCAAAATAGCTAAAATACAATCCTTACTGAGGTGTTTGTCTTTTCATTTGTATTCACTTCATTTATTAAACAAAAACTATTAATTACAAGTAATGACTTAGTATACCGCCAACTGCGCGCGCGAAAAAGCATAAGATGCACAAGCAAATTAGCCGAAGAGAAGAATATGTGTAGAAAACAAATGAAAAAGAAAACAATGTGGAGACATAAAACAATACAAAAATTTATAAGTGGCAATTAACACGTCGCGTCACTTGGACATGCCACTGGGCATTTGACCTATGGTGCTATCATAAACCGGTAATTCTTGGCTTATATACACATAGACTTCCATGCATGTTTTTAGTTCTCCTCCTTCAGTAGTGGTGGATGTGCGCGTATATATTCGAGGGCACGCAACACATACGCTGGCACCGGCGGTGGCGTCGGCAGGTGATCACCGGTCGGATGGAAGCCTTCCTCGTCGGCGGTATAGCTTAAGGAGATGCGCTCACCTTCGGGCGATACGTAATTCAGTGAGCCACGCACACCGGCCAAACTGCCGGCCTCCTGACGTTGAATGCCATTGCTAGTCTCATAGGAGAACTGGTAGTTGCCCTCGGCATCGGATGCGTCACTTTGAAAGCTGCGTATTTCGGCATTTTTGTCAATGTTGTCGGCACAGACGAAGGTCAACAAGCATAGCGCAACACAGATGAGCTGGAAGTGAAAGATTACGAAAAAGCCCATAAAATAAAATATAATGAAGGCATTAAACTGGAATTGAGGTATAATGCAATATTTAATGAAGTCGATTTACAATTTCAATGCTTTGATGAATGAATGAATGAAGCAAAAGGTGACTAATACATATATACATATTATTAACATATTTTTTGCTTGCCTGGTTTATTGACATACTTACATGTTTAAGCATATTGACTTTTTTGTGGTTACTCGATTATTGGTTAAGAAGGTGCGACAGGACTCGTTGCTTGATATCCAGAAACTGTGCGATGAACCAAAAAATGTAGGGCTTTTTATAGTAAACATCTGTGTTTACAAGGGTTGCGGTGCCAAGTAACTACATATGCTTATGAAACAAGTTCTGTTATGAATTTTAGAGCGTGAAAAAATCGAAAAAATATTAAAAAGAAAATAAAAAGAAAAAATCCCAAAATTATTCAATATTGTGCGAAAACCATTACAAGAATTTCAGTATTCCTTGTCATAAGCTCACAAATCGTTTTTGCAAAGCGCTTGCAATTCATATACGCTTGAACATTGCGCCATTACGGCTGCTGAAACATGTATGTATTGGTGCATCTAACGTTTATTGCCATTATAGCTTTTCTTAATACACGTTTAATTAGTTGCACACTTTTAGGCACTGCGAATAAATTCAAAACATCCAAAACATCTATCAAAATCTGCGTCTTTGTTGCTTTTTGGCTTTTTGGCTTTGTTGTATTGTTTTATGGTTTTTGCTTGCTTTTTTCTTGTTTTTAAACGTTTCTGTTTAGCTATAGTTTTTTTGGTTGTTGCTGGTCAAACATTAGCGGCGTTGCGTTGGAAAGCCACGTGTTGACTTTTTATATGTTATTATGTGGATAATTTTGGAATTAATTACTGTCGATAATGATAGTTAATTGCTAGCGCAATTCATCGGCCACTTCATACGAATGGTATTCATGATCGAGTTCCGCGGAAGAAACCTTTGATATCAAATATCAATTTGCGCTTAAACTTTGATATTTTTGGAATACTGTGCTTTTTAGCGACAAAAGTAAATGGAAAGTATTTAGAATGAAGAATCGACGAACATTTTAAGTGACTGGAAATCAAACATTTGTCGTAAAGAACGTAATATCAGCCGTGTAGGACGGCGGGGATTTGGTGATGCTAAAAGAATGCATGACTGCCGATGGAGTTGGTAATTTGACTTTCATAGAAAGCACTATGAATACGAAAGACTACCTAATTGTTTTGAAGAATATTTTGAATTCCTATGTCGAAAAACTGAGTGTGGAACACTCTTGCGTGTTTTAACAGGACAATGAACCTAAACACACTGCGTAAATTGTTTAAGAATAAATGCTTTATCACCCCCACAATCACCGGGGCCTAACCTCAGCGATTATATATAGGAGTACATAGGCAAACACATTAGAAAAAAGATAATTAGGGTATGTTCAAGGATGATATTGAAGAAGAATGACAAAAATTTTAGCGGAAGTAACAGAAAGTCTTCTTAATTCAATGCTGCGTCGTTTACCATGCATAATTGGAAGAGTATTAAAAACCATTTTAAAAAAGCCATCATGAAACTGCTTCATGAAACTCTTAAGGCATGTTATTAGGAATCATAAAAAAATAGTAGACTTAAGGCTTAAAGGCTTAAAAAATCTTTGGGAAGTGGGCGAGGCTCCTCCCATTGATCTGTTTATTGCATATATCTTCCAAGCCAATAAAGAACAAATTTGCTAACTCTTCTAACGATAGTGTGCCCACTCCCCAATTAACGTATATTCTTATGTCACAGTGCCATAATGAGAATACTGGACTAAAACATCGCCTTCTTCCTCTATAACACCATTTTAATTTTAAATTCCATCTGATTCTTTCACATTCAGTATACAAACAAAGCACCAATTCATATAACGAGATAAATTTTTGTATGATTATAGTCATTTTTTTGAAGTGTGTGTTCTTATGACCAAGGTTTTCTAAATCAACCCGAAACTATTCGAGACCATAGGTACGGAATATGTGGACCCCAGTGCCTTTTACATTTTACCGAAAATATCAGTCAATGTTTAAGACATATAATTGAAATTTTGAGAGAAATCTTTCTTGATAATAGGGCCACTTGTGGCCAAAAACTTTGAAAAAGAGGGTCTCCAATAAGTTTAATGTACATATCTCCTAAACTACTAAAGCTACAACAACCAAATTTGCTGAGTACAATATAACAAAAGAACTCTTACCGACAGTGTGAAAATATTTGAAATCGGATGAAAACTCCGCTCACTTCCAAAATAGCGGTAAATTGGCGACATCGGACTACAGCCACTCACTCCTATTTTCTATATTCGACAATATCAAATTCTATTTGATTCTTTAACTTTTCAGAACACAAACCCTTCTTGGTTTTATAATGGGAAGAAACTTTGCACGAATAGTGCCTTAAGTGTATGTCACCTTATGAACAAAAATGTTTTAAATCCAACTCTTAAAGCCTTTAGACACCGAATATTTGCACCTCAATATTTACGGTTGACTTTTAATTGAAAATTTCGGTGAATGTGGGAGATATATAATTGAAAATCAGGGATAACACTTCTCTGACAATGGTATGTCTGTATGTTAAAAATGGGTTGAATCGGGAAAATTCTCCTCGTAGTCTCCATATATCTAATATAAAGATTTTCGAACTATCGGGTGACTTTGTACCGCATACATCGGCTAATATGTGAGTTTTCTCCAAGAAAATGGGAGAGCGGGTTTTACTCATACCTGTGTATCTTTGTTTTTAAAATAAATAAATTTTTGCGAAAATTTGCCCTAGCCCCTATATAACTAATATCAGGATTTTCGAACAGCCGGCTGACTTTACTCTATTTGATTGTTTTTTAGTATGGGACATGCTAATTGTAGGTGGTATTGGGATAAAAAGATAAACTTACATTTCATATGCTGATTTTCGTTTTTCTAATGAACGTTAGTCAGTGTATGAGCAATATATGGTATAATGTATACATAAAATTGCTTGGCTTTCGATCCTCTGGTTGAAGTTTTACACCTCAAAGTATTTCCCTGGCTACAAAATGTGTGAAAATAATCATAAATTCAGGACCAATTCACTTTTGCTCGATATGACCACCTTTTGCCTTAACTATGGCCTTGAGACGGTCAAAAAACAAATCGCAAGCTGCCCGAATGTGACTTGCTGGTATTTTGGCCGACTCACGGACACTGGCTTTCTTCAGCATCTCGAAACTGGTGTATTTTTTACTTCGGACCTTTCTCTGCAAAATGGCCCAGAGAGAATAATCCATTGGATTCGCATGTGATGAATTCGAGAGCCATTGTGTGGTCGTAACGAAGTTCGGAACGTTGTTTTTCAGCCATTCTTGGTTCACTCGCGCTTTGTGAAACGGTGCTGAGTCTTGTTGAAACGTCTATGATTTGCGATCGAAATGTTTGTTTGCGAACGGCTTCAAAGCAGCTTCCAGAACACTTTCCCGATAATAAGTCGCATTTAATGTGACCCCAGGCTCGATGAAAACAATTGAAGAGCGCCCATCTGCGGTGACAGCGGCCCAAACCATTATTTGTGGCGGGTGCTGCCTCCTGGTGGCCAAACGATGACTTACATTCTCGTATGAACGGTCGGTCAAGTAAACCCTATCGTTTTGAGAGTTTACGAATTGGAAAAATTGTGTCGTCAGAAAACACAATGTTCGGAATTTGATCGCTTTCGGCTTCTTACTTGTTACTGCTTCGGTGTGAGATCATGGGCCTTTTGAATATTTTCAGTTCTTTAGCCATTTGAATGGCACTCCATCGTGGATTTACATGGCGTTTTGCGATGCCATCAGCATCATTGTAACGAGTGATGGTGCGATAAACAAAAACTTTATTCACATTAAGGTGTTTGAGCTCACGAACAATTGCTGGCTGTGATTTTCCAGCTAAATATAAAGCAATCACACTATTATGTTTGAATTCCATTGCTGATTACTTTTTTGTGCGTTCACTTTTGGCAAAACGCTTTTGTACACTTGTGAACAATACTCCGAACTGTTTTTCAGCAAATTTATAAACAGCTGCGCGAACGGTCTTTGACTTAAACTCTTTCTCTCTGCCTAAGAGATAGACTCGCCTCATTTCTCACTTATAGAATAAATCGTTAAAGTTAGGTCTTTACTGGTGGCTCAAGACTGGCTTAATTATTATATTTAAAGGACATATTTAAAACTCTTGAAGAAATAAATGTAATACTTTCTGAGTTAAACGCGATTCCCGTCGGCTCTAAAAAAGAGTTATCCACTGTTGAAGTAATTCTGCCTTGCTCAGTGTATAAAATAAAAATTCGATTGAAGATTGGATATATATTAACCAGACAATGAGCCACAATTAAAGAAAAAAAAAGAAAGAAATGTTGTTTTTTAAAATAATTTAATTTTACCAACAATTATTGTCGAAAACTAGTTTAAAGGTAAACTCATTGCCTGTATTGTCGTATATATGTATATACATATGCAATAATAATTTTAATTTCGAATTTTCACACGGGGTATTCTCCTTAAGTAGATTGTTCAATTTGCCAAACATTAGAGAGTGCCAAATTTCAACAAACAATTGAAATAAAGACTATGAGCTTTACAATTTAATTGGACCTTTTTGAAGAGCATTCAATTGTTCAAGTAGTTCGAAGCGAGTTCCTTCCCGTTACAGTTAGCAAATCATAGTTGGAGAACCGTTCTTAGAGTTGTCTATGAACTAATTTTTCAAAGTGCTAAGGAAAAAAGCACATTCATTTGCTTTGACCCAATTCAATATGTTCAATGATATTTTATTTATGCTTGTAATATAATAAAACCGTCTTAATACTCGTTCTTCTAAATTTCATATTACCGAATTGAAAATGCCGTCGGCATATGTGCTAATGGGATATATTTGATTGTTTGATGTTTGATGACGAATATCTCGTAAACACTTAACTTGATCAAAAAATCATTTTTATAGAGCAGTAAATTTCCTACAAAACTATGAGTTTCATTATTGATAATGATTTTTTCATTGAGTTATAAAATTCATAAGAAAAGAAAAATTTCCCAAAAATAATCAAACTTTAACCGTTAATATCTTTTAAACGGTTGGGTTTACGAAAAAATCGTAAGAGACCATTTTTGTAGAGCATTCAATTTTCTACAAAATTTCAAGTAGCTGGAAGCGAGATATAAATTTTTCTATTTGATAATAAGAAAAAATAGAAAACT